TAGTCTGCCCTGATACAACGCCTGCATTGCCACAGTCTAGTACTGAAACGGCACAGGCAATACCACAAGGACAGAATTCTACACCTGCATCAACTGTAGGCCAGTGTGTGAAACACATCAAGCCTAAAAGGAAACGTTCAAGACGTCATAAGACCTCGAAGGCGTCATCAAGGAAAGGGGATGAATGCCAGGCGTGCAGCATCACAGTTTCTAAAACTGATTCAGCGTTTGAATGTAATTTTTGCAAACGATGGGTGCACTGCCGTTGTGACAAAGAAGTACCGAAAGCATACTATGAGTTTATGAGAAATAACCCATGCCCATGGTTTTGGTACGTGTGTCCACTTTGTCGCCCTGGCATAGTCCCACAAAGCGTGTCTGCGGATAGCAGAAATAACATGCTCTTGTGCCCCAACACAGTATCATGCAGCTCCCCCCTGCTAAACTCGCACTGCCGAAACTGGTCAAAGACTTAAAGAAGGACACACCAGCCCTACTGACTGGAAATGCCAATTCTCACAAGGTGAAGATTAGCAAGGTTCCATCCACATCAAGGGAGGGCAAAATTACAAAGGCACCACTTGCATCCACTAGCAAGCCTGGCAACACAAAAAAGGCTGTCCAGGTACCGACGAAGCCTAATGTTGCTAATGATGCAAAGGACTGCAAGAAGCCGAAGGCAAAACCTAAGTCTGAGGGTAGTCGGTCTAACTCTCTCATCCTCTTTAACGTACCTGTGAGCACGGATAGCTTGCTCGAACAACGGGCCCTGTTTGATCAGGAACAGTGGTCCAACCTGTGTGGCAAACTAGGTCTGAACATTAGTTCAGCAAAACTGTGCAGACTGTACAGGGGTGTCCACACGCCTCAGGGTAAGCCACCCCCATTACGGGTTACACTGGACTCTGCCGAAGAGGCCGAAAAAGTACTGTTAATGGCTCAGGTACTAGCCCTGGACAGAAGTTCTAACATAAGAGCGCGGCAAGATAGACCATGGGCCGTCAGAAATATGGCGAGGGAGTCACCGGAACTGATGCCTTCCACCTCTATGGTGGTACACGGTGTTCCGGAGCTGGAAACCGGCACTGCTTGTGAAAAACACATGCACGACGTACAACAATGGAGATGGCTGTCATCTCAGATGGCCCCTGGCGCTTCTGGAGCCATCTCCATTTTCCGACTACCTCGTCCCGCTCATCTAACATTGATTAACTCTCCAAAGCTGCTGTGTGTCACATTCAACTCCCCGGAGCAGTTGTCCATATCACTTCAACGGTGGTATGAGACCAAGGGAAAAATTGGAGGACACATCCGATGCTGTGAAAGCAGACCCAGAAATATAAGGAGGCAGCAAACTGAGGCTTTAATACGACCCCAAGCTTCGGTGACACTAGAGCGATGCAGCTCTGAGAATAATAGTCTGTGTCTCCCAAGTGTCCTGCCTAAATCCATTGAAAAAAACTACAACGGGCCGGTTCTATCGGAATCGGCCAACTAGTTCCAACATCAAGTCCCCCACCAGCAGACGGTTTCACGTCAACTACCCCACAACACTCTGAGGTTGTTAGACTCACTGTCAGTTGCCTATATAGCAATGTGAGGGGGCTGAGAGGGAAAGTAGGTGAACTCCGAAATCTCCAAGCACACCTTCAACTGAAAATAATCATTCTTACTGAAACGTGGCTAAACCCCACTATCGCCGACAATGAAATCAGTATAGGTGATATGGTACTGGTCAGGAGAGACAGGGATAATAAGGAAGGAGGGGGAGTTGCTATATACTTTGATAGGCAACTTAAATGTGTGCGCGCAACGGACCCACCACTTATCGAACTCCCAGACTCCATATGGTGTCATTTCACCGTAGGCCACACCAAGCACTTACTGGGTGGCATCTACCGATCTCCCACCTGTGGGGCAGAGCACAATCAGCTACTGCTCAGCACTATCACAGGAATACGAGATTTGGGCTACGACCAAATCACCATAGCTGGAGATTTCAATGCTCCATCACTGAACCTTGGCTCCGGGTGTGCTAAGGGAAAATTTGGCCGAAACCTACTGCAAACTATTCGAAACACGGGACTGACTGAGAATGTTGGAGACGACACTAGGTGGGGCCCTAGTGGAAAGTCATCAAAACTAGATTATATTCTAACTAGTGACCAGCTACTCGTCGAAAAGGTCCAGATCATGACTCCTCTGGGAAGCAGTGACCATGCAGTCATAGGTTTCGATCTTGTCCTCCGTGAGCGTTTGCAATGGGATGTTACGCGACCATGTCTGTGCTACAGCAAGGCTGACTATGCTGAAATGCGGAGGCTCTTGTCCGACGCAGACTGGCCCTTAGCATGGGACGACCTATCTGTGGATGAACACTGGGAAGTGGTAAAAAAGATTATCCATGCAGCAATCTCGGATACCGTCCCTTTAGTCACAACACAGCCTAAGAGAAAGACGTCATGGTTGAAGAGAGGCACGCAACGTATTCTGCAAGCAAAGCGGAGGGCTTGGTTTACGTGGCGTGTATCTAAGAGTCAGACCGACCATGATGCATACCTCGAACTCAGGAACCGGTGTAATGCAAGAGTTAGGAGGGACAGAAGGTCATTCCAGGCTAACCTTGCTAAAAAACTCCTATCAAACCCTAAAAACTTGTACCGATTCATGTCGGAAAGAAAACCGACAAACCAAGGGGCATGCGCCTTAGTAGGCCCAAACGGTCAATATCTCACTAGTCTGGAGATGGCTGAAACATTCAGTTCAGCCTTCGCTAAACAGCTAAACAGCAATGTGGATATTACAGTTACGGACCAAAATGGTGGCACCACTATTTCAGAGGAGGAAGACCTAGCGACTACTCCCCAAATAAACCCCGCAATAGTACTAAGGAAGCTACAGCGACTCATACCTGGGAAGTCCCCAGGTTGTGATGACATCAGGCCATCTGTTCTGAAACAGTGCGCCGAGGCTCTCTGTAGACCCCTGTGCGACTTGTTCCAACACTCAATGGATTCGGGGACCCTGCCAAGGGAGTGGAAAAGAGCCATCCTTTCTCCAATCTTCAAGGGTGGGGACAGGCAAAACGCTGCTAGCTATAGACCAGTAGCTCTACTCCCAGTGGTATCAAAAGTACTGGAAAGTATTATTGACGACCACATCAGGGAATATTTCGATAGGACTAATATACTGCATGAAGCCCAACATGGTTTCAGAAAAGGCAGATCCTGCGTCACTAACCTACTGTCAGCTTGGGACGACTGGACATCATGCTGGGACTTGAACGTACCAGTCCATGTGGTCTTCCTAGACTTTGAGAAGGCATTTGACACTGTTCACCATGACCTTCTCCTACATAAAATAAGACAGGCAGGCATAGGTGAGCCACTTCTGTCATGGTTGAAGGACTACCTAGCCGACAGGCAATTTTGCACTAAGGTTAACCGAGTCCGATCATCTTGGCACAGATCGTCATCAGGAGTGTCGCAGGGTTCTATCCTAGGACCACTGATGTTTTTGATTTTCATCAATGATCTACCACGCCGTCTGAGCTGCCCGACTCTCCTGTACGCTGACGACGTAAAAATATGGAGGGCGATAAAGTGTCCGGAGGACTCAGATAGGCTACAGGAAGACCTAAACCTTCTGGAAGACTGGGCGGTGGCCAGTGGCATGACTTTCAACTTGAAAAAGTGCAAAGTAGTGAAGTTGCGCACCTGTAGACTGCAGAATGCAAGTTACACCCTGTGCAATGAAAGCTTGTCCTGCACAACGTCGGAACGCGACTTAGGTCTAGTTCTAACGGAAAAAATGGACACAAGCGTAAATTACACAGGGGATGTAGCGAGGGCATATGCGGTCATACACTTTACGCATAGACAGTTAGGTGCACTCACTCCTGAGCTCTTTCTAATGTTGTACAAAACATACGTCAGGCCACACCTTGAGGTGCATAATATTATTGCACCCCCAATGCTGAGAAGAGATGCCAACCTCTTGGAAAGAGTCCAACGACGGGCAACAAAAGGAGTGGTTGGTCTCCGAAACAAACCATATGATGAAAGGCTGAAGAAATTAGGCCTGTTCACACTTAGTTACCGTCGGCTTAGGGGGGATTTGATTACTGCCTACAAAATAACAAATGACCAGAATCACCCAAACAAAGGTGTTCTGCCATTGAGTAGGTATAGGCTTCCACGTGGAAATCCCAGAAGGATAGCTCACCAGAGGGCAAGGACCCGGGTGCGCTCCCACTTCTTTTCACTGCGGGTTTGTCGTCCCTGGAATTCCTTACCGGCAGATGTAGCTATGGCACCGTCTTTGGACGCCTTTAAGCGAAGGCTGGACAACCATGCAGCGATACAAGGACTGCATCCAAATGGCCTATCTCCTTAAAATCGCATTTACCAATCAGGGTAGATAATTAAACTCGTCATTTTACTTCTTTACATTCTCTCCCGTCTTACTCTCCTGACAACTTATTAATATTATAATTACTATTATTATTATTACTATTACCGATATATATATTATTCTTCAAACTTCATGAGCTGACTGTTGTTACGTTTCCTATTTTCGTTTCTGTCTCTTAGTCTGAATAGCTTCACTAATTATATCTATTATTATTATTATTATTACTATTATTATTATTATTACTATCTCTTTTCTCTTGTCGACAATACCGAAGGACTAACTGGCGAAAGGATCAACTCCAATCACAGTAGTAACAGTCTTAACATACCTCATACTACAAACCACATATAATTAATCCCAGCACTACTCCCTTTGGAGTCAACCAAAGCTACGACAGTCGAGTGGCGGGACAAGCTACGCAGAAGTTTACCGAAGATCAAGAACCTATACCTCACAATCAAGAAGCGAGCACAAAGAAATCAAATTGGTTTATACTAGCTCGTAAAAACGATATTGGATATTGGATATTGAATGCATTGAAAGTTTAACATTGATGCGGTTTCTTTCAATATTGAGTTACATTTAGCATGTCCAATGAAGATTTTGATGTCAATTTGCTTGACCCTACAAATCATGAAGTTAGAGCATCGAATTCATCGGACAACTTAGTACAAGTTTGTTATTTATGCTAATGCTCACTTGGATTACAGAAGCCTTCTGGGGTCACTGAAAATGTCAGTAGGTCGAAACATCAAGAAGGTGGCCTAAGTGATTCTGTCCGAGAACAGTTGTTGTTACAACTGGATGTTACGCGGGTAAGCCGAATGCAGCCTACCTAAAGGCGGTCAAGATTTTGCCCTTATTTTTTAGTAATACTAAATAATATCATTGATCTTTGTTTACCTCGTCTGTGGCGCTTAATATAATGGCTAATGGAGTTCAAAGCAGAGGTCTTCACCGTGTTTCCTTGTACTACTCCAGTCCTTATTAGCACAATGCCCTCCGTAGATTTCAACGTAGCTTTCACAACGTTTAGCCAGTTTTTGTCACACAAATGACTGGCCATCAATATTTTAGTTTTTTTCATAGTTTTTCAGAGACAGTAATTAAATGACGGAGTTTATCAACCATAACGGTGCTTATTTATGTTGTTGCTCTTCTTAGTTTACCATTGGTTGAGTTTTCCGTTTAGCCATCAATATATAGTTGCGAAATTTGTAGACAGCGTTCTATTCCTATTAACCCGTCACACATACTTTTAGAACAGCTGATTACCTCAGTCACTTTGCAGACAAAATAGATGAGTTTGTTTCATGTTAGCACTCATTAATGTGGAAGATAGGATGCACGCTTATTGAATGCTGAGTGATCTTTTCTTTCTACGCACATCTATTCTGAATAGTTAAATTTGATAATTGATGTCTGAAGCTAGTCTGCTAACAAAATGTTAGAACGGATACAGGTAATGTGTTTCATGCAGATTTTGACTTCCAGTCAATAGGTTTAGGACTCCAGTCTCGCTTCATCTACTCTAGGGGAACCAGCTAATATCTTAAGCTCTCACATTGGGTAAGGCACAGCCTGTAACTGAGCTCCAACCAACTAACAACACAAGGTTGGACTTCATTTGTCAGTACTATCTGTATCCTGCCAACCAAAAGTTAAGACAGGCTATGCAGATATGCGTTTTATTTCTGTATAAGGTTAAGTCCGAACTGCTGAGTCAAAACAGTTTAAGTTAGCCACATTAATTTAGTTGCAGGTATCTCCGAGATGTTAACTACGACCAACTGGATAAGTTAAGGTAGTGGACGTTGAGGGAAACAAAAACATTTTAAAGTTTCTATATATATATATATGTATATCACGTAATCCTTAAAAATGATTATGGTGTATTTCATGTCCTAACAAAAGAAGTAGATGCTACAATTACTTTTAAAGTACACTGCCTGCTTTTCCTCCTAATTGAGTAAAGCTGTAATAATGTAGTCCACGAATTCTGGGTTGATAGTAACACCACTGAACTAATCTATCTATATAAATAGCTAATTCTTTTAATAAACTGTCCATTGTCTCGTATTTACTGAATTATATTTATTTCCAGGCTCGTCTTGTCAAGAACTATGGTTTTCTTCCTATGAGCCTTTACTGTCGTATGCGCATCGGGGATGCGAGATTTGAAACTAAAACCGCATCGGGGTCTGGGAAACATCCTATTTGGAATGAAACATTCTGGTGGTAAGTTGGAACTTGTCATTATTCTAGAAATATGTTGCAGGTATTAGACGCAGTTAATCCAATTGTCCTTAAATGAGCTTAATTTACTTTAATCTTATTGTTAGCTGGTATAATTACAGGTGAAACCTATACGACTGCGTATGCGTACTACCACCCTCTAATATGCGCAATTCAAAAGGGAATGAAATCACTACGTCTTCCTAATTCAAGCGCTGAAGCACCAAGAAATGTGCCACTGTCAGTAATTTGACCCCACATTTAGTGAGTATTAATACGTGTGAATGCTGATATAGAAAAATCCGTAATATATGGAAATGCCATTGTTCCCGGATGGTATCATTTAGTGACATATTATGTAGCTTGTAAAAAAATCCTGTGTCAGACCTCGAAGTAACCTTGCAATCGGCAGCGAGAATCAAATAGTCATCAGGCATCCTCAGCTCAGAGAGACTAGGTGTCACGGGCAGCAGTTGCTTATCTGAAATAAATGCTAAGAGATAATTACCCTTGTTTCATCAGTATGGGACACCACCATAAATACGTCATTCACTTTTTGGTTTGCCGTAACTTCTCTAATTAAGCATTAAAATCATCTATTAGGATAAATTTGTCTGAATGCGTCTCGTTTCTCAACAAAGTTAACAGCCATACTCCTCTATGGAAAATTTGTCCATATTGGAACTTCGTGCATAAGTGTAGTGATCTAGTCTATGTATATTTAGCTTTCTTGTAATGTAAGTCTATTCCAGCCAAAATAAAGCATTCTCATCAACTTTGATTGGTCTAAAATTATCTATTTCAATTAATCTACAGTGTGGTTGTACCATGACTTCTTTTTATTCATTTCGTTTGTATATGTGTGTAATAGCAGTTGCACTATTAATAATTATTTGTTTTATCTCTTGTTCTTTCACATCAGTTGGTTGTATGATGGCATTGATAGATTAACTTTAGAAATTGTTTCAGAAAATGTTATGTTTGCAGACTCACCAGTAGCACACGCTGTGATAATTTTCCCTCGATCATTATTCGATGGTATCCGATGAATCAGTGGTATGAACTAAGTGGGAAACAAGGAGAGAATCTAGAGGGTTCTATTAACCTAATTTTCCAATGTCGAGTAAGTGCATTTTTATTTTACATACTTAGAAATGTGTTCACTATCCTCCCTATAGATCATCAACCTATTTTGTAATGATGAAGGATGCATATAACCCCCTACAGCTGTCAAAGGACCCTACCTCTTTTGGTTTATATAATTTGATATCAACATAGATTAAGAAAAAAACTAATAATACGACAAACAGCAAAGTATCAGATATGAATTTAGTAGTCAGATGACGTCGCAATTTTTTAAAAACTCTTTGTTAGTCAAAGAAGTGAGAAAGAGAGAAAGTTGTAGTTCACTCGCGTATTACATTTGTTATTTTTACCATCGACGTTAGTACTAACTTAAAACAGTAACTTTTTTCAATGGGGTTTGAACAACAGTACTCTGAGATGAAGTTGATATAAAAAATCAGTTATTTTGAGAGAATTATAATTCAAGTATTGGTTTGTAGGGATTTGATATATATATATGAAAAAACAAAACAGTTCAGCGAATAGGACGTTTTTGGCGAATTCATTTTCTTTAACTGTACAGTCGCTTTTATGGACAGTTTCTTCCTTGAAAGAGAATAGTTGCTAAAGTGATGAGTTATAATCATAGTAATATTACTTAATACATAAGAAGGATTAGATAGGGGTTATGTTGTCAAATACATAATTAAATGAACGAATTGTAACCAGGCCTCACATAGGAACAAGGAAAATGTCATATTAATATGCGTGTGAAACTTGGGCACTGTGGTAGTAAGTAATTGTCAATTGATATGATTATGAACAATAAGTTTTGTTCGAAACATCATCCAGTAAATAACACTGTTTCACTGTGATACATCTAATAAACAAACTAATATGAAATGTCATATTGCTTAAAAGTTCGAGTGAAATACATAGAGTTACAAAACAAACAAATAAAGATCAGGTTGTTAGAAAACAATAAGGTTGTTACCATGATAGTAGAAGTGGTCGGTTGATTCTGTTTTTTACGTAGTTCTCAGGTTTATTTATTTTAGTCGTCAACAATTTAGAGAAGATGAGGGAGTTTCGTCTTCGCCTTAACTTTGTAGACTACTCTGAAGGAAACGTTTGTTCAGATGGAATGACCAGTGTTGGTGAGGTGTTCAATTATCGCGTTCCTTTTAGAGCCACTGCAACCTTTCTGCAACCATACCATTAATGTCTACCTACACAGTATTTTACACGACTAGATATTCAAACGTCAACTCCTAAATACCTATATCGTACACATAGCGTTAGTTTTCTTCCTGAAATAAGATCCCTTAAATTAGAAGGTAAAATATCGCCTTTTTTTCTTTTTTAGAAAGTTCCAATGAATGCTCCAGTTCTACAATCCACTCCATTGTGTAGGTCCATATGATTTTCTTTACTTGTTTGATTACTGACAGCTTACATAAACGAATATCAGAATCCTCACCAGTTGAATAGATAAGCTTGACGCCAGTCTCCTTTACTAATCTGGTAACTGATTTTTAACTGTGCTGTGTACTTTATACCACCTATTTTGACCTGACTGACAGTTCAACGGCATTATGGACTTACATACGTAGCCTATAAGCCTCTACCTGATTGCATTGATTGGTTGAAACCTTATGCCAGTTAGAGAGTTACCTATACTTCGGTCTTACAGTGAATAATTGATGTATGTAATTTGCGAATCGTGTGCGTCGGTGGCACATTGGTTAGGACTGTCGCCGACCATGTACATGGTCCGAGTTTCCATCCCCTGCCGACTCACACCTGATATCTATGGTCGGCCTGCAAAATTTGGGCTACCGATATCCATGCTGAAAATTCCATACTTGTACCAAAAATAGTGTGGAATCAAGCTGTAATAAAAAAATTTTTCCATATAAAGGAATTTTATTTTCTTACAATCACAGTGAAAATTAAATACCACTAATGTATCACCAGGTAAATTGTCATAGTCTTATACATGTCCAAACTTCGCGGTAGGGAAAAATCTATTACTATTATTATTTTCTTGTGTTCTCACTGGGGCGTGAGGCTTCAGCAGCGCATCCTCCGCACTCTTATAGCCGACCCACGATTTCCCGTCATTCCCCCCTCCACACAATCTTCTCCACGTCACCCTAGGACGCCCAACTCTCTGTCTCCCATTCAGGTTCCACTAGGGAGCGTGGTGCGTGATGCCACATAACAGTTTCCTCAGAGGACGTTCGATCTGTCGACATTTCCTTCAGCATATTTGTCAGGTTATACAATTGTAGTTAGTTCTCTGTCAACCAGAGTTTCTAGTTGCTTGTTCTTTCTGACCGATGAAAGTATATAGCAGGCTATTGGATATGCAGTTGGTGACCCATTCGCCAAGAGTTTGAACCATATATAAGCAGCAACTTCACACCAGTGTTGAAGATCCAGATATCGTTCTATTTGCTAAGTGTTTTAGGTTTCCGCATTAATTTCAGAGCAATAAAGGTTTGTCTTAGTTTTCCGATGCTAGCTGGCTTGCAAGTAGTCATCTGTGCTACCAGTTGTTGAAATGAGACTACCCGACCGATAGCTGCTACCTTGGCGTGGTGGTTGGGCTTGCACATGGCGATTACCCAACAAGCTACACTGGTTGGAACCAATGTCCCTGCAGGTCCTACCATTACAGAAAGATGGTTAGGCTAGCGATTAGGCTAAAAAGTTGTCGGCATCATGCTGGGGGGGGTGTCTGAGGACGAAGTCGTACTGTTGGGGAACAGCGGTGTAACAGTAGTGAGGCGTTTCCTCAGATGACCAGCATGCCAGCTATGCTGTCTCTCCACTCCGGAGGGAGTGGGTTAGAAAAGGTCGAACCCAAAACTTGTACATCCCGACTTACCCTACGGTGGTCCGTAACCGGCGATAAGTTTACTAATACGGAACCAATGCCAGAAACCAGTTCATACAGGCCATGTGTGACCAACCTCAAGCGGCTATCCCCTGGGCTCTGCGGTCACGCAACACTAACCCTCTCTCTGTGTCAGGTACCCGAAGAATTAATCAACTTCTACGGTATGGGCAGCCCGGAAGTAGCAACCGCCCATACACTTTCAAAAGCAGACGAAGCCTTCCTGAGCATCATTCCCCTTTACTCACATCACCTTCCTCATCTTGCTTCTCTACTACAGTTAGGACTATTCTTCAGGCTGGTGAGTCAACTTCACTTTACTCTGTGACCACGAACAACGGTGAGAGCCATAGAAACACCCCAGATAGCCTTCAAAGCCACGTCGCCAACACCACATAGGAGCATTTAACGTCAGGACCCTCTGCCAAATCGGACAACAGGCATCACTAGCAAGAGCTCTGGCATTTCGAGCCATGGATGTATGTTGTGTTTCGGAGACACGCATACAAGACCCGAGTGTGGTCTGAATGGGTTCGTTAAAAGAACGGAAGACGGCGCTACCTGTTGTTGCTTTTTCGTAGTCTCCGCTTACGCCCCAACAGACTGCAGTTCGGATGAACCAACAGATGATTTCTACCTGAAACTGTCTAATTTCCTGCAAAAAGCAAAACGTGCAGATATGGTTGTTTTAGCAGGCGGCTTCAATGCCCAAGTTGTACCAGCCTGAGTAGTATCTAGGTGTTACGTATGGAGTTCCCTGCCGACGAACCGATAAAGGTGATCGTCTTCTACAGTTTTGCTCAGATAATCATCTCTTCCTAGTTAGCACTAACTTTAAGCACAAAGAGAGACATTGCGTAACCTGGCGACCTACATCACCAAATCAACGCTGGACTCAGATAGACCACATAGCCATAGGGTATCGTTGGCGAGGGTCAGTAGGAGACCGTCGCTCCTACTGGTATACGTGCGTAGACTCTGATCACGCTCTGGTTCGCGCACGTTTATGCTTACGACTAAACGGACGTAAGAAATTGACGACAGCAAAACAGTTACGTCCCCAACTAGATCGAGACACTGAGTCCCTATTCGAAGAGAAAATAGCGAAACGAGTTTCTGAGGTCGACAGCAGAACTTCACCTGTGATAGCCTGGCACAACATATAGTTAGCTGTAGACACAGCTGTAAAAGCTGTTAATAAGCTAAAACCAAGAGTTAGTAAGAGCCATTGGAACTCTACCGCCTCATCCGAACTTATTGACGCAAGAAGACTGATTCCGGCTAGCTTCGATTGGGATGAGGAGGAAAGCTACTCAAACTAACAAGAAGTCTTCGCGACGACCGTGAACAGTGGTGGGCGATAAAAGTGAAAGAGATGGAAAATACATCGACGATTGGTAACACCAGACAACTATTTAGGGAAACAGGTGGTAAAATGCAAATGATAAGTGAAACAATCTCTGAGGAAAATGGCACCGTAATTAGCTCCCAGGATAGACGACTGGAACGCTGGAAAGAACACTGAGGAGCAGTTTAGTTGGCCTACAGCCACGCTCAACTCACCAAACATCCAACACCTCCCTGAGTGGGGTATATACAGGTCCTCCGTCCCTAACTGAGGTTACTAAAGCTGTCACTAGTCTGAAACGAGGCAAAGCAGCAGGGCCTGATGGAATGACTCCAGAGGTATTTAAGTACGGTGGAGACAGTTTACTGTCTTCGTTAACTAAGGTATTAGACAGCGTCTGGGAATCAGAAGAAGTCCCGTCGGTTTGGTGTAAGTCATTGATTATCCTATATACAAGAAGGGAGACAAGTCTTCCTGTGATAATCACATGGGGATTGGCTTGACTAATATGGTATCTAAAGTCCTAGGCTCAATAATCATGCGTAGACTAAGTGGTGCTCGGGAGGCACGAACACGAGAGAACCAGGCAGGCTTCAGATCAGGAAGAGGGTGTTTGATGATATCTTCAGCCTTCGACAGATTCTGGAACATAGGGATTCTTACCGGTGTCCAAGAGTCGTTATATTTCTTGACCCAAAGGCGTCATTCGATTCTGTCGACCGAGAGGTACTCTGGCTATGCTTGGCTGTAAAGGGAATGACGAGGAATACATTGCACTGATCGGGGAACTCTACTCGAACTCATGCCATCAGCCAGGTGAGGGCTTACGGCGAGTTGTCATCTGAAGTGGTGACGACTAGTGGTGTCGGTCAGGGATGCCCACTGTCCCCATTTCTATTCAATTTCATCATAGATGTACTGATAGACTTAAGCCTTACTACTTCAGAGACACAGGGATTGACTTGTTACCAGGCAATAATTTCGTTGACTTAGAATATACAGGCGATATAGTCTTTCTAGGCGGAGATGCTGACAAAATGCAGAGTCTTCTGAACACCTTGATCAGCGAACTGTCTTCGAATGCTTGGCATGCGATTCGTTCCCGCCAAATGTAAGATGATGTTACAGGACTGGACTGCACTGACTCCTAGTTTAGAAATAGAGAGTGAAGTGGTAGAGCTGGTTGAGCGCTTCATTTATTTGGGAAGTTGCACCAGCCCCAGCGGGTTGATCTCTGACGAAGTCTCAGCGCGGATACAGAGGGCTAGTTTCGCATGTGCCAGTTTACGCCGTCTCTGGCGTAGACGTGATATCCGGGTATCGACCAAAGGGCATGTGTACTGCTCATCAGTCCGCTCCCTCCTACTTTATGACTGTGAGACCTGGCCATTGAGAGTGGAAGACATGAAAAGCGTGACCAGCTGTCTTTAATCATAGGCGCCTGCGTTCTATCTCCCGTGTGAAGTAGTATATGAAGGTGATCAATATTGAGGTGAGGCATTGATCCGGTGGGTGGGAGGGGAAATCAATCGACGAGGCTGTGAAACTATATCGACTGAGATGGTTAGGACATGTGTTACGTATGTCTAGCATCGCCTTCCTCGCCGGGCAATGTTAGCTGATATAGGGTCAGGCTGCAAAAGAGCTAGCGGCGATCAAACCAAAAATGGCACCAGTCAATGAAATCTACGATAGTTAGTTCAAGCCAGCCACGTAGGAAGGTGTAGACTTCGTGGTTGGGGTCCTCGGGACGGTAGAATCCAACGATTGGGAACAATCGGTGATATGGCTCAAAATCGTTCTCAATGGTGCAGACGCATCCACTCCCTGTGACTTATGATTTCCAATGAAACTATATTGTTCTTCGTTGTTCTGTCTCTGTCTGTCTGGATTCAACATAGAACTTGGCACCGAAGTGCAGCAGTTTGAGTTGCCACATTCCAAATAGCACACAAAAGTAGACAAGAAGATGAGTGAAGAGAATCAATAGAGTTTGACAAGTATACGAGTGAAACAGAATGGGTAATGGTAGAAAGGAATATGAAAGATTACAGAAACTGAATACATCTGCGCCATTGACAAAGATTTTGAGCCATGTCACCTATAGTCTCCAGCCATTGATTCCTAGAGTCCCGAGGGCCCCAACCCGGGAGTCTGAATCTCCCTACCTGACTCAGTTTAACTGTCAAGGATTTCATGGATTGATGCCACGTTTTTGTTTGGCCACCACTTACTCTTTTCCAACCTGCACCTATATCAGCTAGTAATGCCCGTCGGGGGAGGCGATGGTTAGGCATGCGCAGCACGTGACCTAGCCATCTCAGTCTATGTAACTTTATAGCTTCGTCGATTGATTTTCCCTCTCTGCCCAACACTCTACGCCTAACGTCAACATTACTTACCTTGTTAAACCACCTAACGTGAGAAAGAGATCGCAGACATCTATGATCGAAAGCAGTCAACCTTTTCATGTCTTCAACTCGTATTGGCCATGTTTCAGAGCCATAGAGAAGGACGGAGCGAACTACTGAGCAGTACACACGTCCCTTGGTTGATGACTGGATGTCACGCCTACGCCAGAGATGGTGTTAGTCAGCGAAAGCAGCTCGAGCTTTTTGGATCCGTTGGATCTTCGTTGTTACTATTCCTTCGTCTCACAGCTCTGTTTACTGTCTCTGTTATGCGTTTCTTCTAGTTTCTTCTCTTGCTTTATGTGCTTCATGGAGTGTGGCGACTTGAACTGCCGCACATATGTGCAAAGTTCTATGTCGAAAACTGACAGACAGACAAAGAAATGAGACTGCCTAGATAAATAGAAGAGGTGATTTCTTTTAGATTTCTCCTTTTGGTAGGTAATTGATGGTTGTTGTTTTTGTTTAGGTATCTTCATCACCTCTATTTGAAGAGGTACTCAGGATGAATTGAATGTTTTAATTTGTTGAAGCTTAATATAACTACAACCAACATATATCAAGGGGATTATTGTTATGTTGATGGACGTAATTTTAACAGTAGTTTTTCACAGAACCTACAGCAACATTAACTGCTGGTATATTCACCAATCCTTACTAAGGCTTAATATAATTCTTCCCAGTAACAAATTTAAACAAAGCAAGAACGACAAATGTACCAGGATAAAATGAGCTCATTTTTTAATATTGGAGGATTCTTCTCAACTGGCTACAATCTGAACAATAAAAAATATAAATGTTAGAGATTTGAGCATACTTTTTCCACGATGACTAGGAGTAATTGGTAGGAACTAAGAGTAACTTCTAAATCGTCCGCCACCTACAACACGCCCAACAATACCAACAACGGAAGCAGAACTACCAGTGAACATCGACCCTCCGACGAAATCAGAGGTCCTGAATACAATCAAGATGCTAAAAGATGGGGAAGCAGCAGGACCAGATGCAATCCCAGCAGAAGCATTGAAAATGGACCCAGAGACAACAGCAGACTTGATGACGCCATTGCTGGAGAAGGTGTGGAAAGAGGGCAAAGTACCCGAGGATTGGAAGAACGGATACGTATTCAAACTTCCAAAGAAAGAAGACTTAGGTCAATGTAAAAACTGGCGTGGAATTATGCTTCTGTCCATTCCAAGCAAAATATTAAGCCGCATCATCCTGGAGAGAATCAAACACGCCAACCAGGGTGGAAAACTTCGACCGGAACAAGCTGGATTCAGGAGGAACAAGTCATGTATTGATCAAATCGCCACACTACGGATCATCATTGAACAGAGCTTGAAATGGCAGTCACCTCTCTATCTCAACTTCATCGACGTTGAAAAGGCCTTGACAGCGTCTATCGAGTGGTCATTTGGCAACTACTTCGCTACTACGGGGTCCCATCGACAATTATACATCTCATCCAAGAGTTATACGACAATGCTGCATGCCAAGTAATCCACAACGGGAAACTTACGGAAGCCTTTGAAGTGAGGATGGGAGTGAGGCAAGGCTGTCTACTATCACCAATGATCTTCCTGATTGCAATTGATTGGATAATGCGACAGACAACGGCAACCAACGAGGGAACAGGCATAAAATGGACTGACACAAAAAACTTGGAGGATCTGGATTTCGCCGATGATATATGTCTGATTTCCCACAAACTGGAAGATATGCAAGTGAAAAGTAACAAGCTGGCAGAAGAAGCATCAACGATAGGACTTCAAGTGAACATAGATAAAACAGGGGTGATGAAGATTCTTGGCCAACACCAACAGCAACAACAACAGACGACAGTCAGCGTAAATGGGAGGAACCTGAAAGAAACAACCTCCTTCACCTACCTGGGAAGCATCGTTTCAACTACAGGCGGAACTGACGAGGATATCAAAGCCAGAATCGGAAAAGCAAGACAGGCTTTCATTACCCTTAAGTCTGTGTGGTGGTCAAAATCACTCAGCATCAAAAATAAGATCCGGATTTTCAACTCCAATGTAAAGTCAGTGCTACTGACTAAACGGATCAGAGACTTGGCGCGCCATGAAGAGCATCTCCAACAAACTTCGGACCTTCATTAACAGCTGTCTCCGCTCAATACTCAAGATCAGATGGCCAGAAAAGATCAACAACAGCGATCTCTGGGAGCGAACCAATCAGGAACGATTGTGAAACAAATAGGCAGGAAGAAATGGAGATGGATTGGCTGGCCATACTCTGAGGAAACAAACCATCAAGTGACATCACTAGACAAGCCATTGCTCGAGTGGAACCCTAAAGGGAGGCGGCGAGTCGGTCGTCCAAGGGTGACTTGGAGGAGGTCATGCGAGGAGGAGATGAAAGCATGTGGACAGACCTGGAGCGGGGTGAAAAATTTGTCAGAAAACAGAAGGCAATGGAGGTGCGCAGCTGAAGCCGCATGTTCCTCTAGGAACTAAAGGATACAATAATAATAATAAGAGTAACATTAGCACGGAATGACGTAAGTTTTTAAATCATTAAGGGCTACAAGGACTGAATATTTATAGGGAAATTGTATGAATATACTTAGAAACAAAAAGACGAAGTTCAACAGACTTTTGTTGTTAGGATCAAAGTTCAACTAGGAACGGTATAACAAATAATAGGTTACGCAACCACAGGAAATATGGTTTTGTAAAATAGCCAAAACACCAGTCAGCATTACTCTGACACGTTCATGTTAAGTGGTAGACACAGTTGGAGGTAACATGAGGGGGCAGTCTGTCCACTTTTGACTATCTTAAATAACTGGTCGTTTGATAAACATATACAAGTTTGGTGGCTGGATATGTTCTTTTCAGGGCAGCGTTCAGTCTGCATCTTATCCTACTAACATCACTTTTAAAGACAAGCCGTGGAAAGATGGACTTCTTTCTACTGTGCTCTAATTCACTTTGTCAACACTACGTTTTCCATGTTTATCGATGAATTTCTGTGCGTGAACATAATCATGCAGGCATTGTTCCACAATGGATAGTTCTGAGCATAACTTTCTTACACTACCGAACAATATTTGTAACTTATAAGACAGAAGCTTTTGAAGTTCAGATAAATTATCCTTCAGGTCTCCTTTCTGTGGATGTACCTTATGATTTCACCGTCTATACCACGTTGGATACCAAGGTCAAGAAAATAAAACTTGTTCTCATTTTCATACTCCATTGAGCACTATTCTGAACGTTTATCATTTGACATGCATCAATAAAACAGTCGCGAATAACGAAAGTTTCATCGACATACCTGGCACAGAAGTCTGTCTGAGTGGCAGTGAACTTTATTCTTGTTCGTCCCCGATTGCCCATAAAAATATCTGCCAGAATCGGACCCAGCAGACTTCCCATGGCGACGCCAACAATCTGACGCGAAAAACATTGTTAAACTAAGACTGTGTGATTGCTACATAATATTGGCAGATGTTTCAGTTCGTTATTCGGTAGAGGAACAAGGTCAGTATGCTTACATATGATTTGTTTTGTCTCTTCTAGTAGGATCTGCGTAAATACTGAAAGCATATCGAACCACACCATGAATTTATTCGAAATGCTCAAATTCTTGAACTGTTTAGCGAATTAAAAGTGTCTTTTAAGCTGTAGACAGCTAACTTGTCACGGATTGGTTCCAACAGTTCTGGTAACCATCGAGCTATTTTGTTATGCAGTAAATTAACCACGGACAGTATTGGTCTTATGGTAGCGTTGGTTTAATGCACCATATAAGTAAGGTAATCTGAATCCTCTGGGCTTCAGTTCATTATATATGTTGTTGTCAATCAGCTTCTTCAAAAGTTCTCTCGATTTCTTGGTAATCTGTCTTGTCATTGATTCAGTTAGATCTTTTTCAAATGATCAATTCGAAACATCGATGCGTCACTCAGAATTGATTTGACTTTCTGTACATAATTATCTTTGTCTATTATCACAACACTTGATTCTTTGTCAAGTTGGAGATTAACAACAGACTCATTGTGAGTTGAGTTTCTTAGTGCTTTTTGGTGATCTATCGACAGAACTGCAGATGTGGGTTTTGGTGATGTAGTATATTTATTAGCAAATCAACAAGTCGAGATTTAATTTAACCTTGTTTCTCTTCATTCACTGGTTTTAATTCAGAGAGTTGGTGATACAAGCCTTCTAACTGGGTTCCAACGTCAATTTTTTCCTGATAAATTTCGTTGGAATATGGAATTTGAAAACTAGTGAAAGTGCTTCTGCTTCTATCTGACTCATTTTATAACTTCATAATTAAACACGAATTTGTCAGGGTTTTCCGGAATACCTTCACATAATGTTCATTTAACCAGAGTCTTTGACCAAGTTTTCCCCCATTTTATGCTCGTTTTGGTCTGTACCTCTCGAATAAAACTGATAAACTTGATTCTGTGAACTACGTTCATATCATTCGCAATACCTTTACCGTATTAAGGCGCTGAATAGAGCGTAATATATAATTTTGGAATTAGCAGTTGCGATAATAAAATTTGTCTTTAAGCGTAAAGAAGATTGGTGATGAGTTTCTCATCTCTATCCTTTCTAACGCCAATGTTTATGATTAGTCTAGAAAGTAGACTTCTGTGCAGTGAAACTACTTAATCGTTTTAAAACAGACAAATGGATACTGTCAGAACAATGTACCAATATGAAACATTGTCAAAACGCATTGGTTTGAGTTTATACACTGCAAAACAGAGTAAGAAGTAAGTCTTAAGTTAAACTAAGTGAATTTCAGTTGTGTGATTTTGAATTACTGATAGAAAGTAGCCTGAACATCTCCAAAGTGTTTTGATCGGTTTTACACTGTGCCACTCAAAGCTGCTGCCTCCGCCTATTAACATTCGACATCTGAAGGACGCCCACCTAAAATCCTACACAACTTATATTGGGAGTTATGAATTTTATAAAATAGCATCAAATGATCAGTCTTAGTTTTTGTTTGGAGCTCAGTGTACTGTCTGTGTTGATATTACATAGAAAGGTCAATGATATAGCTCGACTGATATAATACTAAATCAGATGTAACATACTCGCTTTTTACAATTATATACATTTATCACTGTCACTTCAAAATAGCGCACTTCAAATATACCTTTATTTCAGACTGTCAACCTGGATTTGGCCATGTAGGTGATATGAGAGTGTTGCCTAAACCAATATCATCTGAAGATATTCAAGCAGTACGAGAAATTTTCCCTTCGGTAGAAGATGATACAATTCGATCTCTTTTGGTAACCCATCATGGCAACCGAGAATTGGTTATCAGTGAATTACTCGTATGACAAATGAAACATAAAGTGGAGATTATTGTGACATAAATATTATTATTTGAAAGATTCTAATTTTTGTTTTTCGTTTTTGCTTATATTCCAGCCAAAAAAAGTTGTATCGTTAATTTATACTGTCTATGCTATTTCATATTGCCTAATATGATAAATTTTTCCAGAGTATTTTATGGCTATGTATTCTCTATTACTTGTGCGATAACTACCTGTTATCAAAACTATTTCTGTATCGCAGTGATTGTCATTTTAATTTTACACACACACACACATACACATATACATACAACTTATCTAACAATAACTTAATTACTCATTTATCGGTTTTCTTCTCTTTTCACCTGTCACATACATACTCAGGCCTATCATATCATTTCGTTGGATGAATACAATTCTGTTTGACAGTTCCACTTTTATAAAAAAAAAACCAACAATGTGTTCTTGTTCATCATGTCGTATGTCTTAGCGAAATGAAGAAGAGTGCTATCATCCATCAACTGTTATTTCAGATGTCATTTCGTCCTTTACCTTCTAGCATACCTGAAAATATGTATAATTTGGTAAAAATCTGTGAATAACTTTCATTCTCTATTATTATTATTTTATCAATTGAACTTTATGTGTTTGTGGAACAATATTAAATTTTTTTTTTACATTGTAACGATGATATGCACTACTTATTTACTATGCAAACACTCGTCAATTTATTATCACTGTTTATAAGTCATACTACCAACAGTATCATGAGTAATGTTGTGATTATAGTTCATCTGGATATTGTACGTTTATTCAGTGGAAGGTATATTCAAGTCTAAGCAGTCGATCCGTATTCAGTCACGTACTCAAACTACTGTGCCACTAAGCAAAGTATAAAAGCAAATAAATGGTGTATTTCTTACTCGTCAAATATATAGTGAGCACACGTAGTTGTTGAGTTTCATTATTATATAATAATAACAGTAGTAATAATAACTTCACTGTGTGGTACGCTTAATGTTAAGTATTTGGAGACATTTAACAAGAAAATCGTTAAAATCGAAAGCTACTGCTCTGGCGTGGTGGTTAGGTTAGCGTATCTCAGTAAACTTAATGAGCTATACTGGTTGGGGCGAGTATTCTTAAAGGTTTTGCTATTCTCTAGAAGTCAGTTGAGTAGCTGTTAAACAAAAAAATAGTTGTTTGTACTATGGTAGGACTCTGAGGATGAATTCACACTGCTGGCTGATCGGGGTATAGTGGGATGCAGGTGTTTCCCTCCAGTTTGTCAGCAATGCTAATCTTTCACGTTGGGAAGGCGTTGGAATACGTTAACTTTAAAGATTGTACTTCCCGACTTCATCAAAGGCAGTAAGGTCTGTATCTTCAGTAACTCTACTTCCAAACAGGTCATGGGAGACTGACTTTGAGCCGTTCTCCTGTTAACTAATCACACAATACTACTTCCCTTCGAAGTATAGGTCAACTTGAATCTAGTGGGCAGTGAGAAGGCAATAATCTCTGACACACTTTTATTAACAAATGAAGTTCTATTCATCACCCATCTTCACTTTGCTTTCTTCCAATTGCTAATATTTTTCTTCGGCATTCTCTTCAGCTTTTAAAAATGGTGACTATTGTCAGCTACTTAAGCCACATGAATATTATTCACAGCCTACCATGATCATTCTGCCAACTTCGTATACTGTAGTTCAACGTACAAACCTTCACTAGCCAAAACTGTGGTATGTTTTGTTTACTTCTCTGGACAGGTCATTCGACTTTCAGTATCTAGCTAAGGTAGTTAATGGTGGAAATTTGCAGACCATTGAAAATGCTTTCGGCAGTGCACGCACCAGGCGTCGAAGCATTTAGAAGCAATAATTTCACATCAAATATGGGAATCCACATCTTGTCCTTTATGCTGAGTGGTGTAGATCTCCACACTTATTTCAAAGTAATGAACTCCGGCCTTCCCCATCCTTTCCTGTCCATCTATAACATCTTTATCCGTGCTGACTGTATTTGTTATGATACCGCCTATTTAGGCATAGGATGTGACTGCTTTTAGTTTCCTCCTATTTGTCCTATTAGTCGCTTGTTGTTGTTTGTCAGGTATCTCCATCACCCCTGCCTTATCTGTATCAAATGAAGTGAAGTCTTTGCTACCTATTCTGTCAGCTTGTTGATTTTCGCTTATGAATCTTAGAGTTTGTCAGACAGGAAGCGTAACTCTTTCACTGAATCTAGAACTTCTAGGGTCTTATGGTCTATCCGAAGTATGCACACTCCAGTCCACCGCAATCAGAAAGATGATTAGTGGTCAGTCTTGCACTTGTCTTTACTTCGAAGACTTCGGTAACCTTTTCTCTGTGAATATGACATCATCATGTAGCTATAAAATGAGGTTTATAAATGTTCACAGCCGTGCAGTTTACAATGCTGAATCACTTGTCAAATTACTTTGTTTTATGTAATGGGATAATCTTGCAGTGTATTCACAGGAGAATGTGTTTGACTATTGTGGTACTGAAGACCCTAGGACACATAGTCAGGCAAAGACTGTGTCTGGAGTTTATGAATACCAGACAAGATTTAGGCTCCGACAACGGTACGCTCAGCATATCTTCATCCTTTAACAATTTCTAGACCACACTTGGCATATTTCTTGGCCTGAAGGTGATATTTGACTCTGTCAATCGAGAGATGCAATTGAAATGTCTGGCTATGAACCAAGTGCCGAGGAAGTAAATTATTCTGTTTCAGCCTTAACTAACTGATTGCTGACTAATTTTCAGGGCAGACACGGAAAGTATATTTGACATTTAGCAATTCATATTATCTTTGGCGCTGTTGTGTTAACTTGATTTTTAAAAGGACGTACTCACTACGCAGCAATCCATTTATGCCTACTTTACTGCTGAGACATGTGTGTTGAAAGTAGATAATAAAAAACTGCAGCTCTTACAGTATATGTGTTTTCAATAAATTGTCCATGTTACGTAGAGTTACGCTCAGTAATTACAGAATCATAGATACTATGTTTGTCAAGTTGATGTGTTAGACGGACCAGCATATTTAGCAACGAAGAGTGTTTATGGTGTATGATGTTTGGTGAAGGAGGGGAAGTCAGTTGATTAGGTAGTGAAGTTTTCCGGAATTTGAAAATATCTGTTAATCTTAATTTAATTGTTCTTTCTTCTATATGTGACATTTTTTATAATTATATTGCATTTCTTTTTCGTATTCTTGCTGTGTCTTTTTGGAGTGTTTCAAGCTGAAGTGATGAACTTTTGTGCAAAGTTTTACCATGATCAGAAAGTCTGTTTAATAGCTGATTTCAGTGGATCACGTGAGTTCAGCTTTAGTTGGCTGTATGTCTAAGTGGTTGAAACTCTGATCTAAATATGTGTAATTTCAATGTATTACTAATGAATAAGTACTTTACACTTAACTGTATTCATCATAAATGCAAAGGTATTGTATGAAGAGTTTGAAACTCATCAGTGAATGTTCCTAATGAATTTAGTTTCTCTTACAATTATACACGTCACTCTAAAATAAAATGTATTAAGCTTTTTGTGTGGGGTATGCTGTCGTTTATTAGACAGATGACAGATACTGCTAAGTTGCCAATGTACGTAATCCAGTTCACCTACGCATTTTAAAGGAACGCAAAAAGTATCAGTAGTGAAGATTAATTCTTCTTCAGCTTTGATTAATAATATTAAAAAAAGGATTCTCACAATAACTCTGTAGGTATTCTCTCTCATGGTAATTTTGGCACCTCGAATTACAGACTAGTTTATTACTTGCATTCTAAAGATATACTGTTAGAATAAAGCGGCACTGTATAGTTATGAGGAATAGTAACCCGATTATTTGACCAGTAGATGTCTTCGTATCTTCACTTAGGTGAGTTTCTGTTGCATCAGCACTTTAATTTCCCTAATAGGAAAGCTTGTCATTCTTCCTCAGGCCTAAATTTATGTGATAAGAAAGAAAATACATTTCTTGTGATGTAAGAATACCTGTTTTGTATATTTCAATATTAGTGTTTGCTCATAAATGACCTGGAAATGCGAAGAGTACGTGAACTCGGAAATACTATTGTAACGATATAAGACAAGGGCCAGGCAACTGATAGTTTATTAAGAAAATCAAGATATATATATTAAGATGCTTATTGTTAGCAGAGAAGCAACGTCCTCTGATTGGTTGTTTTCTAGCTGAAGATTATCCTGTACTGGTTGTGTTTGTTTCTTAGAAAGTTAAGCCATATATCTGCGAATCGTATCTGCTGTGTTTGGTTGCGGTTCCTCAAGATTAAGCTTTCTTATTGTTTTTTCTCATGATCCCGATTCGGCACGTAAATATTGACGTAAATGTTGTTTACGATTTTCGCATGCAAACAGCTCCCATCACACTGCTATGTGACCTCGCTTTCATAATTTGGACTACATGAGTCGTATAAACTAATTTCACCTGGAATAGGATTTATTCTAGAAGTAAATTAATCAGTATAAACTTGTTTTGGTCACTAAAAACATGGGAATACAGGTTGTGATACTGCGTTGATACATTTATACAACAAAATTCAAGTCCCACGTTTGAAGGTTGGCTTCTAAAAATGACCATTGTCTTCAGATTGCACTTCCAAACAATGCCTCAGCCGTTTAATTACCTATGATATAGTAATTCCATAAACTTGATTCATTTGAACTCTCAAGCAACTTTTATAAATTTATATTTGTAAAATCTCAGCGAAACTAAAATGATTAATTCCAACGTTTCGCTCGGCTATCTGGTCCGAACTTCTTCAGGGAAATTAATCGAAATTAACATAACAGAGGTTTATATATAAAAGGAACATCTCTTGTTTTTGAAACTTTGTCCAGTCATGAGCCATGAAACAGGCATCAACATGTATAATGAACAAAATTGTATGAACTGTGATCAAAATTTGACCCCAGACTTTCAAAATTAGTCTACTTTTGTCAAAATATATGTGTGTATGCAGTATA